ACCACTTCACTGAATTTGGGTTTAAGAAGTTTTGTATATAGTGGTTCTAACCCAATTTTGGAATGGTTTTGGAAACATGAAATAATATAGTTACTACTTGCATATTTGGTGGTGGGATAATCTTTATCAGCTGATTGGGATGTTAGATGGCTCACTTGAAAAGGTATACACTCTTCATATTAATATGCATAATTTGAATTAATTTATGAGTACTTAATTCTAATGATCTCACACTTACATATAGGTCTCTATTTTGGGATGAAAATACTCTTGCAACATAGGAAGCTCATGGACATATATTTAATGAGGACGATTTATTGAAAAGTTGCAGATTGTGATTGTTAGAAATCTTCCCTTCATATATAAAAGATTGAATGGAAGAACCCCAAAGGTAAAAAACTTGTTTCTTATTTACTTTGAATTACATTTAACAATAATAAAGTCCTGAAAGAGTGTTTTCATAATCTGTTTCCATTATGGTCTATTTTTATTAGGAATATTTCAGTAAACACTATGACACAATTTGGGCTTTAAGCATCGTTAAACAATTACACTTTAGATCTGGATTTTTTTACATATAATTTCAATCTTGAAGTCTCTTAATTATCCATAAATCATTATGATTTCATGTTCCATCATTATATTCATTTTGATGTGTTGGTATTATCTTTATATGAGACATTGTAGCTTGTATGATGTGATAAATGGATCATTCAAACCATTATAATATGCTTTACATGTTTCCTCTTGAATAATTATTATCTCACAAGGTATAATCATTAGTTTTTCTGAAAGGGTAAAGGTTGTGAGGGGTAAAAGGGTAATTAACCATGAACTTTAATCATGGTACTCTTATTCCAAAGCTTTTGCCACTAAGAATAGGGGAAATGCATATTTCTCTTACCTTTCCAAAATCTTTTGTTTATAACTTCATTTCAAGAATCTTTGATCTCATATTTTATTGTTTTTTTTTCATATATTAAACCGTTCATTTTTTTTCCATGTATAAGCACACAATGTTGTATTAATGTTCGTGTCCATGCAATGGATGTAGTTATGACTTATTGGGAGCTAGAACAATCTCTATAAAGCTTAATAAGTAATCACTCATTACCACACAATATTCAATTTTATTAATTTTTGTTATATTGGTTTTTTGGAAATAAGGAGAAATATCAAAAATAAGTTCATAAAAAACTCCTGCCACTACCATTAAAAATAATCAGTATGTAATTTTTTTTTTTTTTCAGTCAGCTGTGATTATATTGCAGATATGAAAGCACACAAAAACTTAAACATCTAAATCTTTAATTACTAGATTACCTTTAATAATAGAGAATCAAGTTTTGTTTTATAAACCAAGTTAATATCTAGGTGTCTATGATCATTGTATTTTCATTTTGTTTTAACTTTATTTCAAATCCTTATAGCATCATGCTAATGCTGGATCTGATGGTGCTCAAAAGGTGATTCATTTTGTTTCTTTTGTATATGGTAATAGTGTATTAAATAGAAGAGTTGGATTGTTATTTCTATTTTTGGTTTATTTTCATATTTTAAATCTCTACTTGGTCAAAAACTAAAGATATAATGGGATTTCATATAAGAGATTTGAATGTAAACCAAGTTGTTTATAAATTTGATTTTACATGTTATGCCATTTTTGTTGAGCATCTGACTGTTTTTGTGTTGTGTGGTGGTTCTAATCTGAATTGTGTGACAATATTTGTAATGAATATTTAGTTTTTGATGATTAGGAACCATGTAAAAGGATTTTCAATTACGTAATATATCTATAAAAATCTATGTAACTATTAAAATTATATTAATTGCATTTTTATATATTTCAACGAATATTATAAATGGAAATTGGATTTTGTTGAATATTTTTATTGTTATGAATTTTTTTGGATCCTATTTTTGTTATGGAACAAATGACTATGAAATTTGAAATAGAACAAATAGCTATGAAATTTGTTACTGAAAAGTTAGCTACGGAATTTACTACTGAACAAATGGCTAAGGAAAAAATGGCTACGGAATTTGCTAAGGAACAAATGGCTACGGAATTTGTTATGGAACAAATGGCTACGAAATTTGCTACACACCTCATTGTTATGGAAGTGTGTTATAGTTAAATTGCTATGAAATAAACGTCGTAGCAAGACTGCAATGGATTCTATAGCTAAACAGTTTGCTACAAGAAATATACCTACATAATCTCACTAACAAATTCCGTAGCAACTTCTGTAATTATTTAAGTTTAGCTACGGAATTTTAGCTTTTAGCTATGAATTTGTTTCGTAGCTAAATAGAAATTTTCTTGTAGTGATTGAGTCGTCTTGTGATTATAAGATGAAAAAGATTTGAAACCTTATTTCGAAAAAAGTAAAACTTAATTTGGCAGAGAAAACATTGTCATGGGTAATTAAACCTTACATAATATATGAAGGATTTATAAAGATTTACAGTAGAAAGAAACTAAATTAACTTTGAAAAGACTTACATGATGTATGCATGGGATAAAGGAGAACTGATGAACAAATTGAGAGGATACAGTGGCGGACCTGTGTAGTGCATTTGGGGTCCCGAGCCACTGCTCCGATTCCGCCCCATAGTGTAAAAAAATCCTATTAGGTGCACCAACTTCGTATACAAGTGACACTCGTCTTCAAATGTTCTACGTCCGCCACTGAGAGGATACATGAGGAATTCAGATGATGTAGGAGAAGTTTATCTTTAAATGTATGTAAGTGAATATATGCATACAATATAAATAATTTTAATATTGGTAACATAGTAACCAATATATTGGAATATATTTCGAATTGGCTGGATGTATACCTTACATATTACATAGTTGCACAGAGTTTAACATAATAACATATATCATCAACCGTATTTATATGAATTTGACAAATTTATTTGAATTTGATTACGAAATATAGTTGAGATGTGACAAGAGTCAAGATACCTTAAATAACACATAACACATACCTTAATACCTTAAGTATACCTTAAATAACAGATATGATAGGGCATGTATATACCCAGTCAATAGGAGCAGCAGAATAGGAAGTTTCATTTCAGAAATCAATTTTTTAAGAGAGAAAATAATGGTATTTTCGGTAAATGACAATGAAAAAAAGAGCAGGAAAAAAGTGTGAGGGCTGGCTTAGGTAAATGCACGTGGATTTAAGGTACACTTTTATTATTAAAGAAGGGGATATTAATTTTATTTTTTATGATAAATATATTGAATATGTTGATGTTTTGATATAATATATAAATAATATAATACTAATCATGGTGTGTCTAAACTCTAAAGTTCCAATGGATCTAGATAAGGAAAATGACTTATAAGCCTAACAAAGTTTTTAAACTGTTTAAGAAACCCAATTATGTTTTGTCTGTTCAAGAAAACCCAACGAATTTAATCTTTTATCTAAAAAAGCCCAACTAATTTACACTTCCGTTCACTTCTCATTTAGGGTCAATCGACTAATGAAAGTCAATGAATGACATTGTTTATGACGTATAATTAAATATCGGAAAATGACTTGCAAGACCAAAGAAGTTTCAAGACCATTCAAAAAACCCCAATCATGTTTTGTTTGTTGAAAAAACCTAACAAACTTACGCTTTTGTTCAATTCTCATTATAGGCAACTAGATTCATTACGTATACAACTAGTTGGCAAATGACATAACATTATATTTAATGACATGGAATAAACATATTAGAATTGCACTTTATATATCGATTTGGGGCTTGGAGCACGACGTCTGTGTTCGATCTCTTGTAATAGCTACTTCTTATTCTTCCTTTCAATCGTTGATGTCCAACTCAAGATCTACAAAGAAGATATTTGATGATGAAAAACCTTGTGAATGTGGATGCCCTTCAAGGATTTGGAAATCTAGAACGAAGGATCATCTAGAGAAAAAAGTTAAGGGCTTGTTCGAACAGATGGGTAAATGTAATTGAAAGCTTTATCATGTCCATATTCTATCTATTTGTTTGGTTTCTTCCAAAAACAAAACCTTATTAAAATGGACATGATAAAGCTTTCAGTTACACTTACTCATCTGTTCGAACAAGCCCTAAACATTATCTCTGGATGATCCTCCATTCTAGATGTCTAAATCCGAGAAAGGCATCTACATCCACAAGAGTTTGCATCATCAAATATTTTCTTTGTAGATCTTGAGTTGGACATCAACGATTGAGAGGAAGAAGAAAAAGTAGATATTACATGAGATCGAACACAAACGTCGTTTGTTTTTTTCTTCTCCAAACCCTAAATCGAGATATAAAGGGCAATTCTAATCTGTTTATTCCATATCATTAAATATAATGCCACGTCATATGCCACATCATTTGCCTCTAATGAGAATTGAACAAAAATGTAAGTTTGATGGGTTTTTTTCAACTAACAAAACATGATTGGGGTTTTGAAATTTCGTGCATGGTCTTACAAGTCATTTTCCGATATTTAATTACACGTTATAAGCCATGTCATTCATTGACTTTCATTAGCCGGTTGAGCATAAATGAGAAGTGTAAGTTAGTTGAGCTTTTTTCAGACAAAAGGCAAGTTCGTTGAGTTTTCTTGAACAGACAAAACATAATTGGAGTTTTTTGAACGGTTTGGAAACTTGGTTGTGCTTATAATTCATTTTGCTGCCTAGATATTCTTACAAAATTAGTGGTTCTACTTGCGTTGAAAATATTGCTGTTGAATTTTATCGCTTGTATGAATGTTCCACTCCAATCGTCTTTGAATTATACTCCACGTATTTTCTTTCGTCGACCACATTTTCATAGAAGTCAAAACTTGGGCCATGGGGGATCCCTCATTTTTCAGCTCTTGTTTGAATTTTCAAGGATGCTTCCTAGCTAGTTCCTACGTTCATGGTTAAGGAATCGAAGTTTTTAATAGGCCTGTTGCCATTTATACTCCACCCCATAGTTCGCACCAAAAAAGAAACAAAACTGTAATGGCCTCTCCAAATTGGGTGTTACTTATAATTCAGTTCACCATTCTTACACATCTTTCCGTTCTCACCATTACCCATGGAGATTCTGTCTGCGGAACCCAGGGTACTTATAAGCAAAACAGTGCATATCAAAAGAACCTCAACGATACGTTATCTTCTCTTATCGAATCACATAATGGAAATGGTTTCTTTACTGCATATTCAGATTCTTCACAAGACGATGATCAGAGCACCACCACTACTTATGCCCTTGCCCTATGCCCCGGAGACTTTGATGTCGAGAGCTGTCTTGGATGTGTGAAGTCTGCTACCGAACGCATAAGACGTGATTGCCCCAACCAAAAGAAAGCGACAGGGTGGTATTATGGTACGTGTATGTTAACCTACTCTAATAGCACATTTGAGAGAAACGATGAAGTTCTATCCATTCGAGAAAGTTATATCTCTAACTCGGATTCAGTCCTTGAGGCAGTTGGAAACTTATTCAAAGAGTTACAGGGTAAAGCAGCTGTAGATGGGTACTATAGAACATCTTACTCTGATGCTATCATTTTACCAAGGTCTACGGGGAGTATTCAAGCGACTATGCAATGCTTTCCGAATATATCTCACGACATATGTCATGAGTGTTTGATGAACGCTACTGATTATCTACTAACATGTTGTAGTGGAAATGCTGAAGTAGTAGTTTCCTATCGATACTCATGTTTCCTAAGATACGCCATAGATCTTGTCAACTTTTCAGATCCTCCAATGCCACCAAGGAATCCGTCTACAATTCAAACTCCAGGTTCATGTGATTTTCTTTATTTTATTTTGTAGATTAGATATTTTCTTTAGTTTCGTGCATGGTGCACATAAGGTCGATCGGTCTTTTGATATTTAGATCCGTGAAGGGAAAAATAAATCAAATGTAATCGGCCCAGCCATAGCAGCTGCAACAGTAGCATTGGCAATCTCCACCTTTTTTATCTGGCTATGGGTTCGTAGTAAAAAAGGTCAGCATATACAAGATTGATTTCATATATAATTATATACCTTGCGTGATATCTAAGATTTAATCAAGATTTAAGTAATTGTACAAAATATATTTTGATATCCAAGATTGATTTCATATACGGAAAGAAGTATATTATTAATTGTTACAATGACCGAGGATTGGAATAATGTTAATGGTGCAGGGTACAAGGAAGAGGTGTTTGACGCATTAGACGATGACACTGGGGAGATAATTTACTTTAGATTAAATGAAATGAATGCTGCTACTAGCAACTTCTCAGTTGCAAATAAACTTGGAGAAGGTGGTTTTGGTCCTGTTTTTTGGGTAAGAATTAACCAAAACTATATCGATATGCGTTCCAGTTTTATTTTGTTTTGTTAGTTTATATTAACGAGTGATAAATTTGATCATAGGGAGAGCTTTCGGATGGTAAAAAGATAGCAGTGAAAAGACTTTCCCACAACTCCAGTCAGGGAATGCAAGAGTTCAAAACAGAAGTCAAACTAATTATAAAACTTCAACACAAGAATCTTGTTAGGCTTTTGGGATGCTGTATGAAAGGGAATGAAAGGCTTCTTGTCTACGAATACATGTCTAATAGTAGTCTCGATAATTACCTTTTTGGTTTGTTTTCCATCCCTATATAACTCCCTCTCTTGCTCTTGTTCTTCTAGAGTCTGTTAAATTACTACCCATTTAATTCTTTTTAATTTAGAATTCGTTTTATGAAAAAGATCCTAAAAAAGCAAAGGAACTGAACTGGGCTAAGCGTGTTAAGATAGTAAATGGAATAGCAAAAGGTCTTCGGTATCTTCATGAAGACTCTCGCCTCAAGATCATACATAGAGATCTCAAAGCTAGCAATGTTCTACTAGATGAGGAGATGAACCCAAAAATATCAGATTTTGGCACTGCTAGAATTTTTGGAACAAATCAAATCGAAGCTAATACTGATAGAGTCGTTGGGACCTAGTAAGTCTTTTTAATTTATACTACTTGATAACAATTGACATGTTCAAATCTTTATATTATTTGTAACTAGTTATATATAATCCTTGGATAGTGGATACATGGCTCCGGAGTATGCAATGGAGGGATTGTTCTCAATCAAATCTGATGTGTATAGTTTTGGTGTTCTTCTGCTTGAAATAATGTCTGGGAAAAAAAACAACAGGTTGTTCCACGAAGAGCATGATCAAAAACTTCTCTCCTATGTAAGCCAATTATGTTCTTTTAGTTTTCCAATAAGTTGAAAAATATGAAAGCAGATATCTACCATATACACCATGTAGTTTAAAAATCTAATCATAGACCATATTTGACAATTGAAGGCATGGATGTCGTGGAAAGAAGGTAAAGCAGAGCAACTGATAGATGAAAATTTGAAGGATGATTGTCCTGTCGATGAGGCTCTTGAATGGATGCGTATTGCTCTATTATGCATTCAAGAAGACCCGAATGATCGTCCCATGATGTCTTCAGTTGCCTCTATGCTTGAAGGTGAATGGAAAATTGTTTCTGAGCCTAAACCTCCAATGTCTTTTGGCCAATTTATAGCGTCCGATCATTCTTCTTCAACATGGAATGCTGATGACTCTGGGTTTTATTCATCTAATGAAACAACACATGAGCACCAAGGGAAATCTTCAGAAAGCAATCAAAGCATCGATCATGGAGGCTTGCGGTGAATATACATGTTACTGATATGCCATGCCAACATCGGTTATTAAATTATTATATATAAACTGAGTTTACTATTCTTTTGTTTAAATATTCAACGAGTGTACTTGTTGCCATTGAATTGATTCAAGTAATACACAAATCTCTGTCCAATACTTTTCTTGCTAGATTCAGATTAGCATTTCAATTACTGTATTGTAATTTTTTCATGGTATCAATGTACCACTTTTGAATGGGCGAAGCTGTTTGATCAATACCACATAATCATTTGCACCCACAACATTTATAAATTTTAAAAAATCTAACTAGAAGCACATGTTATAGAGAATAACCTCTTGCATTCAAATGAGATGATGCACAAACATATATACACGATACACGTATAGGCCTTGGGCCATAATTGAGCTAATACTAAATGGGATATATAATACTAGAGCTATACAATAGAATACGCACTCTACTAACATCCCCCGTAGTTAATTAGTTGTAACGGAAGTGTTTTGACGAATCAAAAATTTGAAGGAGATGCTTTGCGAAAAATTAGATGGAGTACAAGTCTACGCTAAAGAGGCAATGAACAACCACGTGGAGAGGACAATCGATTAATACATTTGCTTAGGTTTAGAGAATGAATTGAGTTAATTATGTAAAGAGGAGTTAGGAATCGAGAGAATTAAACTATGAGATGGGGAATCAAGAATCGTCGTGTATGTTTCTGTATCTCCCAAAAGACTTCATCGGCGATGGAAAGAGAGGGAGAATGCTTCGAGCGTGCTTGCGAGAGAGGGCTGTCAATGAGAAAAGGAGGCTGTCTTTTTCTGTGAAGAAGCAACAAAACAGGGTAAACAGTGGATGAAGAAAAAGGGTATTTTGGGGCAATTTTCTGCTATATTCAATTGATAAAAAGACTGCAATAAACTAGGAAAAGTAAATGACCAAGTTTTGTGGCGAGTTTGGATTAAAGCCTTAGCTGGATCATCTAGTGTGCAATATTAAAACTTTTTTATTTATGTTTTATTTATTTCAGAATATAAAACTTAATATGGAATTTGTTCCCAAAATATAATATATTTTTTGAAGAAACATTTTTCATTTATATATAAAACATTGAAATGATATCGTCAATATAGATACAAAAGCATAAACATTATCTTAGAGGCCTTATAACATTTATTTTGTACTAATGGCCTACAAACTCCTCTAATCACTCATTATCCCTGTGCATTTGTACCGCTTCTTGTGATACAAGGAAACTGAGTGAGTCAGATTTGAGGAATAAGTGAGTACATATGGTTTTCAACCCACAATAATTAAGTTTTTTTTTAATTATATAGTTCACATCAAATGATTCACCTGATTACCCATTCCCGTTACTCTCACATATTGGTCCTAAATTACTGATCTCAATAGACAATACTATTTGGGTGATTCCTTTAGCAATATATGTCCATTAAGGCAAACATGGGGGATAAAGTACATCAAATGAACATATAGTTCATTACCACCTACAGGTTGTGAGCCTACTAACGTTTCCACTGGACTATTTAGAATAGTCTGTGGTCGTCATCTATACTCTACTGGATGAACGGTTCATCAATAGTCAAGTCATCTCATCATCATCTCATCATTTTCATCACCCATCACTACCCAATATAATTTCTATAATTATATAAGAAAATACATGTATGATTAAATCAAGTAAAAGTTATGTAATCTATCTAACACATATATTAAGTAGTTCATATAATAGGCGCATGTAACATTTAATCATCTAGATATGTTATATCTATGTGTAAGATGAATGTAATTATGCACTCACTTGTTAAATTAAATGACTAAAAAGTTGGGCAGCGCTTTGCTTCAATACTCAGCCTTTCCTTTGATGTGACCTAAGTTCAATTATCACTAAGTCTTTGATTAATATTCCTCGTGACTAAGTATAGTCAAGATTCCTCAATAATCTCAATGTCTACATCAAGATATATCAAGTAAGGAGCAACCAGGTAAGATCATATTGGAGGTAGGGTCTGTTTGGTATATAGAGTATACTATTTAGAAATCACACTTTAAACAACCACTAAATCTAGCCTAGGCATCACCCCTGTAAGTAGATCAATCAGTATAACGACATGGATATACTGATAAATATAAGTTACACTGAAAATACTAGAGTGTAGCTTAACTTACAGAGGTTTTTCCTGAAAAAGTTTGAAAATCGTACTCGCAGAGCTCCGACCTGATAGCTACCACTTGTCGATCACTGAGGGCCTCAGGGCTTAGCCGAAGAATGAAAACTAAGGGAAAAATTAGGCTAAAGTAGGGAAAAACTAGAGAGAGAGAGAGAGAGAGAGAGAGAGAGAGAGAGAGAGAGAGACTTGTATGGGTGTGTGGAACGAATAAGGGACGAAAGGCTTTATATAGGGCTCAAAATCTAAAAGCACATCGTGCCTAGACATGGGGCGCACCACACCATGCCTTCATCGGAAATCCTCTTCTCTCAGTGTTGCACATGGTGATTTTCTACTGGGACGACGTGGCCTTTCTAGAAACATGCGTGTTACGCCTTTTTTGTGCGAGGTGCACTCATAAAACTTCAAAAAATCCGTAACTTTTTCATACGAACTCCATTTTTGACGCTCTTTATATCCGCGTGAAGCTATCAACGAGATCTACATCTTTTATTTAGACTATGTCAGCTAATTCTCTATATATTTTTTATTTATTATTTTGGAAGGCTGACACTGCTAATTTCCGTTTAAAATTCATATTTTTTTCATACGACATCTTTTCTAAATTGTCGTTATATCAACATACTCCTATTAATAAGATTTTCGACTCTTGTTTAGATTGTTTCGACAAAAACCAACCGATCTACAATTCGATTTATGTCCTAACACAACTGCGTTGAAACATCGAAAAATCATAACTTCCTCATACGAAGTTAGATTTGGATGTTCTTTATACACGTTCTCGGTTTTACGATTACTACGAATTTCATTCAGGTTGCTTAGGCTAATAAGCAACCTATCGAAATTTCACTTTTTAAGACACAGGTTGTCATATCGGGTCGAACATGAAACTTCAACGGGTCACAACATCTTCGTTCTAAGCCTGATTTGAGCGTTCCTTATATCCCCATAATCCTCATCCCGACTACTTCGAATTTCATCAAGGTTATCCAGCCTAATTATTATTCAATTTAAGACTTCTAGTTTATTCGTATTTTATTATATTGTTTTAAACATGTATACTACATATAACTACACATAAAACACATAATAATCAAACAATTTTCTTTATTTATTTAATAAAAAGGTTACAATTGTTGACCATTACAATTACATCATCTTATTAATTCATAGCGAAAAAACGCGGACATTACAATTCTCTCCACCATAGGATGATTCTGTCACGGAATCATGCATCAGCAAACAGATGTGGATAATGACTCCCCATTTTGCTTTCTATCTCCCATGTGAGGTTTGGCCTAGACATGTGTTTCCATCACACAAGCATTAATTCCACCATCTTACGTCGTAACTTTTTTGTCTTACAGTCAACAATCGCTTCAGGTTCTTCAATCAACCTCTTGTTCTCATCAATCATTATCTTTGAAAGTGGAATCACATCATAAACTTCTCCTGCGAACTTCCTTAAATAACACACATGAAAGTAGTGGCGGACCGTCTTACGGGCCTGGCCTCCCCGCTTTTTGGTGTTCTAATACCTGTATATACCCATCAATCTGATATTCAAGTTAAAAAAAAATAGTAGAATGACATCTTTGTCCCCCCCAGTTTCAAGATCATGTGAATATATATAATATAGATAGAAATACCCGGTAACAAAATTTTCGGAAGGATCACAAACAAAATCAAAATCAACCTTGTTTATTTAGGATTCTATAATATAAGGATACTTAAATTCTATAAAAACTCACAATCGAATCAAGATTACAACAATTTAGCCCAAGTTTGAGTTAAGAAAACTAAAAAGTTTAAACCAAAATCAAAAGTTTATTCCGGCCACCAGATTCCAAAATACTTTTTCTCGTAACTAACTAGAAGAACATCGCTGCCCATTAAGGCCATTGCTATTTTGTACTCTTTTCTGGTCGCCAAATTGTTCACACCATTGGTATCATACGCTCTTTCTCCTTTTCTCTAGTTGTTGTGTAACATCGTAAATTTTCAAATAAAATTTTTCGTTTAAAATCGCATAATTCTCATAACACATTTCACAAAAATCTCATTTATTTAATTTACAAATTCGCAACTCCATAATTGTTTGATTAAAATCCAGATCTTCAAAACATAACTCTTTCACTAGTGTATACAATCAAGCCGGTGCCTTCCCGCAATCCTGAGAAAAACCTGAAACACAGAACACATGACAAGGTAAGCACGAAGCTTAATGAGTTCCCCAAAATACCACACACAACTCATTAGCCACTCGAGGCTATAACACTGTAAGACCCTCCGATCAATGTGTCTCAGTGGGACCCTCCAGTCCCTTAACTCGGGTGGACCCTCCGGTCCTAAATTAGTAAGCTCAGAATAATACACAACATAAATCACATAGACATAATGTAGGATATCACAGTACTCAATATAAAAACATAAGACATCTCAGTCACACAAGGATACCACTCATGGTAAGTATAGTGAGAAGACTCACCTCGAGAGCAAGAAATCATCCTCACACTCGAATCTCGAACTAGCCACCGCCTAACACATAGGCTAATTATCTCAATAAGTACTCGATTCCCGAATCTAAGTAACCAAATGTTATTCTTCTCTCTCTAACTCTTGAACTGGGTAAAAGACCATTTTACCCCTCTAAGGTCTCCAATACTCATGTTGACTAAATCCTAAAGTCAACAGAAGTCAAACTCGAGTCAACAGTCTATGTTTGACCCGACTCGTCGAGTGCACTCTTGCGACTCGTCGAGTCCCTTTGTTTCCTCAAAAGTCTCAAGAAAGTCCAGCTCAACTCGTCGAGTTGACCCCCCAACTCGCCGAGTTATCGGACGATCAAGCTCATCGGGACAAACCTTCACTGACTCGTCGAGTCAGGCCATTGACTCGGGAGTCCATTCAAAATTAATCCACATTTAAACGATTCTAAGTAGATATACAACCCCACACTCCATACATATCCTCCTAAGGCTCGAAAAGCACGTAAAGCTGCAAGCTTTACGTTCATACATGGCATATAAGGCTCATAATGCCAATACATGCACCAACAAGGACTAGATGCATAAGAGCTTGCTTCCA